TTTTTTAAACTTAAACTATATAGGTAGGTACATTGTTATTAACTTAATTAGGGTACTCCTAAGGCTTAGGAAGAGCCACACTCAAGGGGCCAAAAAGCCGCATGTGGCTCGCGAGCCACAGTTTGCCGACCACGGCTCTAACCACTTAGCAACACTGACCAGGGCCATTTGCTTTTGGTATTATTGGCACTTACTAAGGAATAATTATTATTGCTATGCTTATTATCATCATATGAATCTTTTGTTTCTCAACTATCTCAACTATCTGTAACTGAGCAAGTTGATGTAGACCTGCCTAGACTTGACAAAGAATGATTCAATTCTTTGATGAATCAATATCTGCCAATATTTTGTTAAATATTTGACCAAAGAAAAAACTGAGCTGTGGCTTGGTTTCTAAGATATCCTATATAATAAAACCCTAATATTAAAAATATTAAATGCAGGAGCTGTCCCCTGGTGGTCAGTGTGCTCCCACAGGGGTAGTGCCGTTCAGCCAAAAGCCAGGCTCACAACTGGTGAGCGCAGCGGCAGTGGTGAGAGCCTCTTCAGCCTCTGCAGAAGCACTAAGGAGCAGCAAGTCAAGCAGTAAGGAGCAGCGAACAGGCAGGTGGTAAGGAGTGAGGGATCCCAGACTATGAGAGGGATGTCCACCAAGGGGTCCTGGATTGCGAGAGGGCACAGGCCGGGCTGAGGGACACCCCCCAGTGCACAAATTTTGTGCACCGGACCTCTAGTATATCCTATATAATGAAAACCTAATATGCAAATTGACTGAACAGCACAACCAGCAGCAGAACGACTGGTCACTATGATGCGCACTGACCACCAGGGGGCAGAAGCTCAATGCAGGAGCTGCCCCCAGCTCATAGGCCCCAGGCCAGCCAAGGCGGGTGCCAGCAGGGGCCCCCCGATTGCCCCGCTGGTCACTCCACAGATTTGCCCTGATCGCCGGCCAGGCCTAGGGACCCTACCCATGCACAAATTTTGTGCATCAGGCCTCTAGTATATAAATAACCAGGATGAAATTTGCCCAGTTAATTTTTATGTTCTTTGACAAAGATCTCTGCTCTATTAATTGTACAAATTATCCTAAAACACGGTGGCTTGTGCACTTACTGCCCATCAGTTTGGCAAGCCTGTCACGTTGAAATACAACACAGAGATGCCCTTGCTGTAATTGCTATCCTCTGCTGAAGTGGCCACAGATTATTATGAGTCACCCTGCGACAGTTCCCTGACATAGATGACAACAGCAAGTGGTTTTTCTCAGCCACTGACCATTGTTATATCCAAGGGCAAATTATTGAACCACTTTTTTCTTTATAGTACAGGAAATAATGAAAAACATAATTAGGGCTCATGATCTTCTCATTATAGGAAATTTAAACAGAAATGTCCACCATTTAACCACAGTCATCTGGATAAACACAAATAAGAACGCTTTATACTTCTTCAATTTCTAGCAACAAGTGCTCAGCACCTATCACATGTCTACAGGAGCCTTTTTTCTGTATAAACATCTTACTCTCCCAACTTTATCACTAGAGGCCTGGCGCACAAAATTCATACACTGGGGCGGGGGGGTCCCTCAGCCCAGCCTGCACCCTCTCGCAGTCTGAGACCCCTTGGGGGATGTCCACCTACAGGGGGAATCGGGCCTAAGCCAGCAGTCAGATATCCCTCTCGCAGTCCGGGACCCCTCACTCCTTACTG